ATTTTGTTTTAAAAATATCAATAATTCATCTATGTATTCATAAACCAAACCAAGCTTTTATTCAGTTTGTTAACAAATACAGCGGTCGAAAAAAATTTAGTCGCACCAAATTTTTACAAGTTTTCACAATTTTTATTTTTATTTTGTTATTTAATTTGAGTTACTCTTATAAAAATATAGTTCACTCTTTTGAACAAAAACCGTTTAAATCCAAGTTTCAAACTTTGTGCAATATTTAAAAAAAAATTCAACAAACTGTCGTAAAAATTTCGAGTTTTTAATTAGATTTTTTAGAAAAGTTTTGAGTATGCAGTTTTGTAGCCCACTCAATTCTAGTGAAAAAAAGTGAAAGTTTCAAGTACCTAAAAATTTTTGTTTTACAATTTTTTTTTTGCCGAAGGTGTTGCGGTTTTCTTCCATATAAAATAAATTGTATTTATTCGTAATATGAAAGCAAATGCTACAAGGAAAATTCTAAAAAATGAACGATAATTCTTAGCCAATTGAAACTTTACTATACTAAAATTGAACGAGCTACAAAAGTGCATCCAGCTCATTCCACGATGACGGGTGAGACATTTCAACTTAATTTTTTTTTAAATCATTATGAAATTAGGGTAGCAAAGAAGAAAATTTTTTTACACCTAATTCCTCACAAAAATAAGTTCATCCCCCGCTTCCCCATGTAAACTGAAATCCCCCACAAAAAACGGACCATTCTCCGCTTCCCCACGCAAACTCTAATTCCCCGCAAGTCGGGGAATTCCCCACGAGTTGGCTTCCCTGATAAGTAGATACTTTGCTGCTGCTGCTTCTGCTGTTGATTTTTACGCTGTTAGCTTCCCATATTCCATATCCGTTAGTGCAGTGACACTTTGACTTTTTGCCATCTCTTTCCAGATACGCGCAAAATTTGCTAATGCACTTACACTTTGCTTGACAAAATATTACAGCTGTTGTTGCATTTGTAGTTGCATACTAATCATAAGTTGTTGTAAGTGTATTTGCTAACATCACTTAGCTTTGTATGCGCATATCTTACTAAATGTATACACTGTATGCAGCTGGCTACAAATCTATCTGCTTTTGTGTTTGGGAATGTGTGTCTCTGTTTGCGCACACCTCAATTGACAATCAATCAAATGAGTAAATGAGCAGAAGAAATGCATAAACACATTTCCACGAAGGTTAGTAAGTAAATAGAAATATCTCTGAGGTGCACTGCAGCTTTATTGACATTTATAATTTTCAGGGTTTAGGATGTTAGCTTTGGGAAAATAGAAAAAAAATAGTTGACTTATCGATGATTTAACAGTTTATAGTTATCAGTGTTGAACAGCGATTGATTGACTGGACACGGCGTTACAAATTTTAAATACTCATAAATAGAAGCAAAAATCCAAAAAATCACTTCATCTCCCATACTTCGTAATACCAAAGAAAAAGAGGTCCTTTATAAATAAATAAAGTATTTTAAAATATGAGTATGAATTGTCATCCAGATTTTTAACGTATTTTTTTTTTTTAACCAAATCCTTCTTCACTTACCTCCGTCGTTGTATTTGACCGGAGCTCCTACTTCCGATTAGTGTTAACCGGACATTGAACAACCGCCCCTTAGACTTTCCGATGTTGAGAAGATTTTCTCCTTTTTCCGATTAGTGTTAACCGGACAATGAACAACCGCCCCTTTGACTTTCCGATGTTGAGAAGATTTTTTCCTTTCTCTGTTACGATCAAAACACTTTCAGATCTGTACATTTTAAACGCATACGTACCACATGATCTGGAAAATAAAGCAGCGGTATTTTGATTTGGGGCCAAAGCACAATGGATCAGATAGTACCTAAAATCATAGGAAATTCTAAGAGCCATCTGATTGGATAACTTAGTACACTTAAGCACAATATGTGCCTTAGAAACATCAGTGGAAACTTCTTGGAGTAAAATACGTGCGCCAATCGATGAGATCGACACACTGGGACGATAAATTAAAGTTTCGTTCCCCAACTTTTCTGGGTTAAAACCTGTAAAACTGTCAAAAAGCAAAAGAAGTCAGAGAACCGGGTACGGGAACGCTTTCTAAACCAATCGAGAGGGAAATTTGCCTTGTGGGTTTTAGTTGAAAAATATGGCGCATCCTAATGTACAAACATACGTATAAAGGTATTCGTCGGGGCTCTACTTTATTTGCGTTGAAGAATGTTCCTAAGAATGTTTGATGTACATGACTTCCTAGTTACATATTCAAAGGTTTTGTGATTCTATGAGCCTATGTTCGAAAATTGTAAAAAAAAACATTTCTAACCTAAAAAAGAGTTCTCTAATTTAGATGTTCATTTTCAAAATAGTTGCACTACCCTTAGCATTCCAATTAGAAATGAATATTTAAAGATTTAAAATCCAAACTGATTCACACGATCTTTCAATTTAAATTGACTAGGTGCTGATTTCTATTCTACGTACACATTTGTACACCCTACTGCTTTTGAAATCAGCATCCCGGTCACTGGCGCGCCGTGAGCTCTCAAATTTCTTGCATATTTGCGATATGATTTATGTTGAAAATCATTTGCAATTTCGCATATCTGAGCTGTCTTTGTCATCAACAGCGTTAGTAACAGAAGTATTGTTCTTGTTGTAGTAATAAATGTGGCACGGTGTTGTTGTTGCCTTTGTTATAGCAATGACTATTATATTGGTTAACTGCGGAATGTCTGCCGCTTTCAATTGGGCATACACACAAACACACACAGACGCACATACTCACACATACACCAACAATACCCGAGGGTTAGAGGGTGGTGAAAAGTTCACTCTGTTGAAATTCTATTCAATTATCAGATGTAATTAAATAATTTTCACAACTCGAGATGTAGACTGCGAGCTGAGTGATGTTGCTGCAATAGTACGTATACGCCTGCACTGCTACAATAACGGGGCTTACTCGTGGGTAGCTACGCTGTGTGTAGTTGATGTTTTTGTACTTGTAGGTTGCTGTTAGGTTGATAAGGTTTGAAGGTATTTAGGAAGTATGTATGTACATTAGGGTGGGCCAAAAGTACCAAAATTCTAAAACTTAAAATGGCCCAGAGATAAAAAGTTGCCTTGCGAGAAGAGAAATTCAAGGTAAAATGAATTTTTGAAATTGGTTAATATTTGACCATCGCGCATTGGAGCAAAAAATATGGATTTTTGACTAGTTGAGACAAAATTTTTAAAACTTTTTACGCATGAGTCACGAACATTAAAATCAGTTATTTGATTGTGTGATCAAATAAAACATGTATGATTGAACAACCGGGGTCTAACTAGATTAGTCGTGATTCTCCGAACTTAAGTTCTGGAAAAATATTACTGATAGTAACATTCTTCACTTAAAGGAATTGAAAATTTCACTTAAGAACTTAGATGCCATTGGCTGAAATGGAACTGCTAGATACTAATACTGGATGGAAAAATGGTGTAACTCACAATACCGAAATGGTTCTCAAAAGAAACCTTCAGTAGATCATTTGCTTATTGCACTTCAATGAACTTCCATTCAGACATTAGTTGAGTATTTGGATGGTACAACCGCAGGTCCTAAATCTCTTTCTGTGCCTATTGGTGAGTGTCTTCTTCACTATCTCATCGTTTGAAAGCATCGATTGTGAAATCATCTCTATTGATGAGGAAATTCAAAACGATCTTTCTAAAGATCAGAGGTATCTCCTGAATATCGCTTCAGCTATTAAGTCAGGAGTCTGTCCTCCAGATTTAGCTATTTCAGATCTTTATTTCGTTCTCGGTGGCTGACATCTGCAAATCGAAGTCTGAGATAATATGGATCAACTGCGAATCCTTCCAATGAACTCAAAGAAATAGTCAAGTTCATACTTAAGTGTTACATGCCCGTATGGTTTGCATTAAAAAAGGATACTGAAACATCCGGGTACTTAACACAAAATCTTCTCTAAATTGTAGATCCTCTTATCCAAAGCAACGCGTCCTTTGTTCATCCTGAGAACATGCTCTTAGCAATGTCATTGAATAAAACAAAAAAATTTAGAGGACTTGGTCTAAAAAATTATCTTTGAGGCTCGAAAATCGCCTGCGAATAAAAAAGAGGTAGTTTAAGATTTTTGTATTCCAAAAATTAACCTTGATTCGAAAAATTATTCACAATGATCGCCTGGGATTCCACTAAATTATCTTCTTCACCACTTCTGCACTATGCTTCAACTCAATATATCGCATCACCCCTAGAATCTAGGTCTGCTCCAAATAAGGACATAGGGACTTTCCCCGACGTACTCAATCAGATAAGCGTTGCATCAAATTAGTAACGGAGTCAGCAGAATATATTGCTGGCATTGGAAAGAGGGATCGTTTCATTCGAATTACGTTGCTATCCAGAGAAATTATCACTTACAAAAAAAGACACATTTCGCCATGAAGAATTAATAAATCGGTAAGGGGTTTTCGGCATGAGGAATCCATTCCTGCGCTTACCTTTTTCTCAAAGCTCCCACCAGAGGGCGCAACAGTGAAAACTCACATTTTCTTTGAAACCTATTTTCGCACTTTGGCAAACTCCAATCCTCCAATCCTATACGCGCATAGTAAAAAAAATTTACCCGTCCTATTGCACATATAAGTATATATTTAAATATAGACGTGTACATACATACATATATTAATACTAGCTTGCAATAAATATTCGAACGCATATTTTATCAATGCCCCCGATGACAGTGGGATTAGGTCGGCTGTCACAGCAGGTGGCGACGTAAACAAATGATTAGGGTTGCAGGTGGAGTTATGTAAGAACAGCCTGCTCTAATACGCCATTGACTATTTTGATTACAAATTTCTTAAGCTATTACTTCATACTTCGATGAAAATCTTTTTTTTTTTTGGCTATCAATTCAAACGTAAGTAGGTCGAAATGCTTCAATTTATTTCTTTATTTTTCGAAATTCTCAAGGTAAGCGGTGCCCACTTTAAGCGGTACTAATTTATACTGTTTACCAGCAAAGATAATTCCAGCACCCAATTCATTATGAACGGCCACTGCCATTGGCAATTACTGACATTTGATATGAATAAAAGGGGGAAAAAAAAACAAAAAAGATATATAAAAATCGAAAATAATCGCTTGCAATAAATACTTACTAGCAGTCGCCAAGTACCTAGATGAGATAATAAGTGCGCGCATTCAAGTGCATGTTTTCTGTAAAACGCCGTCAATAATTCTCAGCCGGCGGCCAATGAGCTTGAACACTACAAACACGCACACACCCCTACATATGACGGCGCAATATGGCATAAAAGTAGAGCAAAAAGTGGGCCACTCAAATTGCGGCAAATTACTTTAAGTTTTGTTTTTTTTTTTACTTTTATGCAGATATGTTGATATGTATTTACGTATGTATGCAAGTATGCATTCAGATAGCCGCAAATATATAAGAATATTCTCCTTCGTATAGCTTACACCAGCCGCTCGGCCACTCACTACTTTGTGTGTGGCATAAAAGCGAACTAGCCGCCGCTGAACTTCTCGTCAGATAGTACTTAAACGTATAAACAAAAGTGTCAATAAACAATACTTATTTGCTTCTCTCACTCCTCTTACCGCGTTAAGTATTGGATTTTTCTTGTTTTCTTTTAGTTTATTCATGACGCTTTACTAGCTGTGCTGGCTGACAGCAGTCAATCGCCAATCGTTTTGCAAAACTTTTGATATCGTATAATTAAGAGCTTGTTCTGTTGTTGTCATACAGTATTGCGTGGTGTTTCAGTGTTGTTCATGTGACCCAGTAGGAAAATAATGTAATTGTAATTGCGAGTAAAGGGTCTATTCTGCGCTGGTAACACAAATTTTGTAAAGGGTAAATAAAGTTCTTGTCAATTATTTTCACGTTTTTGCAGATATTTTTTTAAAATATATTTTATAGCCAAATTTTTTTATTAAATTTTTTTATTTTACTTAGTTTTCTTCAAAAACAATTTTTTTTGTAGGACAATTTTTTTAATACTCGTGCATGATTTTTTGTTATTGTGAAAAAATTGTATTTTTTTTATTTTGTGTTAGAAACTTAATGGAAAATTTTTAAAACTAAAAAAATTCCTTTCGAATAATTACAGCCAATTTCACGAAAGCAATTTAAGTGAAAATTGATTGAAATTTTTTGAATTCTATATGGAAATTAGCAGAAAAGAAAAAATCATTTTCCATTTAAATTGCTGGTGCAACCGGCTGTTAAAAAAAAATAATACTATTTTTGGTGGTCAAAAAATTACTAAACATTAAATAAGTTGACCAATGTTAATCAAACATTTTTTTAAACATAAATAAATTTTTCCTTGACTTTGTTTAAATATTTTTTTTTTATAAAAAAAAATCTATGAATGTATATACATATCGCACACCGTCTTCAAAAGAGTCACAACTGCATATGCAATAATATGCTCCAGCTTTTGCCGAAAGGTAAATAGAAGCTCTATGTACTTTTTTAGCGCATAATTTCAAAAAAGCCAAATTTTGAGTTGAGACTACTTTGAAGACGGTGGCGATATGTAAAACTGAATGAGTTTTGTATGTTAAGCTACACAATTTTTTGTGTATTTATATGTGTATATTTAAGTTTCAGCTATTTGATGATTTTAAAAAAATATATATATTTTTAAAAACTTAAAATTTGTTTTCTTCTGGCAATAATTAATATATTATATAAAATTTTTTCGACAATTGAATAAAAAAATACTTATTGCATCAAATACCGCAAATTTAACTCGAATTGCTGGATATATCTTTTATGGTCATCTTTTTCCATTAGGGTCTTGCAAATTTACTCTTCTGATTCTTAATGTCAATGGTATTAGCTATTTTTTGTACCATTTTGCATTTCATGAAGATCCGCTTGTGTGGAAAGGCATATGATTATGCACTTATAGCCGTCGCATTGCTTAAGTTTGTTTCAGTGTACATATTTCTCATATGTAACTGTAGATATTGAAATGAAATCTGTTTATTTTGTATCACTTGACTGATTGATGTAGAAATCAAATGGATGGAATAGCATCTTTATTCATGCATTTGTGAGGAAATATGGTTTATCTTTCAATATCGTTACAGCTATACACATATACATATATGTACATATGTATTTATGTATTTTTATACATAAAGATATCTTCATATGCTCTCGCTTGTAATGATGGGCATTGACCTATTTTCTTAAGTACCCTGTAGGCAAATGTACCAGTTGTGAACTACCTCCCAACTAGTATGAACCACATGCCCAACTAGTCAGCCAACTACCTTTTTCCCCTGCAATCAACTGGTATTTTTAACATGGGGATGTCCTACGAGATGGCAATTTTCAGATTTATAAAAGTAATAATTAACGCTTAAAATTTGAGATTTGGATAAGAATAAAATAAATAAATAATTCATGCAGTTATTAAATATTATTAATTTTTGTCTACAGTTTGGCTAGTTGATTGATAATTGAAATTAATCAAATAATTATATTAAAATAAAAGTTAAAAAAGTAAAAAAAATATTATTGAAAATGATCAAAAATAACAAAATAACCATGTAATTAAAATTAATAGATTAATTGACAAATTTTAATTAATTATTAATCATTAAAAAGGTGCTAATATTGGTATTTAATCATTAAACGGTTATCCAAAAAACGTGCTTTAATTATTGATCATTTGATTATTAATCATTATTTAACAGGTCTGGTATAATTGAACATGTACTCGTTTTAATGGTTTACAATATACCCAAATAAAAGTTATAATATTTTGTGTACTCTATTGTATTACACTGTCGAAGCCAAATAAAACAGGGCATGAATAACTCGTTTTGTATTTGGTACAGGTCTGGTCATTTTCGAACTAGTTCGGTTTCAGTCAGAAAATTCTAGTTGTAAACTAGTATTTTTCTTGACTAGTTTGGGATTTCACTGCAGGGTAAATACTCTTAAAACTTGTGCAATACTTTTGCCATGAACAGGAAATAACAATTGATTGTTCCGATAAAAATTTAAGTTGATTACAAGTGGCCTGCAAACATACTTTTCAGCAATTTGAATTGAAGGAGTTTTCAATGTTAATTATAAGATAGTTTAAAGGTTTTTTTTTGTGAAGTTATTTCGGAATGAATAATATTAAAGATTCAAATAAAAAGTTATCAAAAAAGTTAAAGATCCTTTTTGTAAATAATTCATTTATTTAACTATAATTGTTTATAAAATATTTTATTTTTAGAAAAATTACATACGTATGTAAGTTGAGTAAGCTTCTCACTAACGCAATAAAACTGTTAAATAAAATCAAAAAAAAAAATTAAACATAAATAAAACTTTTCAGTTATTCGTATTGTTTTGCTTAAATATTTCTATATCTAGACACAATTGCATTTATTCTTTTGTTTTTAAATAGTCACTGTAAAAATAAAATACTTATCAATCTTTAGTGAAATATTACTCACTGTTGTGTTTACATTTTTTTACAAGGCCATTTATGGATATAAATAAATTTTCATTGTGAAAAAATATATTCGCTTCCATAGTTTAAAGGACTGATTCACATGCTTTTTTGAACAGAAGAATATAAAACTTTAAGATCTACATATGTAGGTACTTATTACTCATACAATATATGAATGGTGACCCACATCAGAAGGTGGTTAGCGTGAAAAGACACAGATATTGCAGAGAAGGCAAATGACTTCATAAAGTCATTTCAAAGTTCTTAAGAGACAAGAGAAGAAGAAGAAAGATAAATCTCAGTTGATATGGTATCAGAGCAGTCTTTTAACCCGTTGACGATCAAATAGAGCTTTTACTCCCTGCGCGTTCATATAAAATCTTCAGAAAGCTTTAAAAAGCTTTTGTCCTAATTAATGTGCAACATGTAAAATCTATAGAAAGATTAACATAAGTGCATAGTTCAGTACTGGGAGAGTTTTTACCCTGTACGAGGCCAAGACGGGTCCCATCACTAGCATTGATGCCTAATCTAGAGGCAGCCTAAAAATTTTTCTGGCGGGTCTCGTTTTGGACAAGTAATTATTAGAGAGAGCTTTTACTCTACGCACTCCTTCTTAGAATATCACCAAAAACTTTTAAAAGCGGTTTGCGACTATCAATCTTTTGATGGTGACTATTTTAAACTATTACATAATACTTTCAAGGAGTGATAGAGGAACAGAAGGGAATACTTCTTGGTGCCACTCTAACTCTTGAATCATAAAAATTCTGAGCTTTTACTCTTTCAGTCTTTAAAAAGATTGCACGCGCGCAATCTTTGGGTAGTAAAAAACCTAGTTATAGGGCACAACTGGGAGGCCTTATACACCGCTACCTTTCATCGGGTCCAGTGCGATTTTGGTTCTAATAAATTCAGGGCGTCGGGCGTTAGAGGTTATTTTTGAGGTTGCAGTGTGGCCACCCGAGCTTAGGCACTCGACAATCTAATGCCGTGCGCCACCTACATATGGCCCGGTCGCAAACAAAATGGCAATGAAAATTTACCCTCTCTAAACTGCCAATTGGTGACAAGATCCGATCATCGCCTGAGTTCAAGACGGCCCTCTGCCTAATTTATCAGTTGACCAGTGATCGAAACTAAAGCTATGTATTTGGAAGTGATTTGCTACAAACTACACACTTTCAAAAGAGTTCTGCAATCATTTGCCAACTTCGACTTCATTGCGGAAAACGCCTTACGCACCAGGCTATCCGCAAAACTAGGACTCTTTCAATTAGAAGGTGGCGTAAGTTACTACGCTCAGAGAGCGATAGCTTCCAACTCTTGTTTCAAGTAGTCGTGTATACATAAGTCACTGCAGACTCAATACGAGAGAAGGATCCAGAAGGATATATAGAATTCCGTTACAATTCATGTAAAATCAGGATTCTATCTAATCTTGGAAAGTAAACGAGAGATTACGTTTCCGTGCCGTTTCGTAAATTTGTTGGCAATTATTAGAGAGAAGAAAGTCCGAGATAAATAGCTACATGAACATGTGTTTAGAGCGTTGGTTCAATATTAGCAGTACTTCATAACTTACATACATATATACATACATATATGTATATCTCATATCCCTGCTACAGCACTCAAGATGGGAAAACAAATGTCTACTTAAATCTGAATGAATAGTCACACAAGCAACTAAAACCGTTAGCTGCCTCGTAATGTAAAAATACATATATAGCTTACTCTGTGCTTTGTGGCTTCTAAAAAGCTTTATAAAGCTCCTTTAACTAGTGATAAGCCGTTGCAATAAATCGCGAAAAGCAAAAAGCGTTTTATTCAAAAAGAAAGCTACAAAATTTTCTAAGCTTTATTGAACGCAGAAATCAATTAATGCTTTCCACAGAAAATTCTGATGCAATTTACATTTTCAATTGCCGCTACCGCTGATATGCATTTACATACAAATGTATGTTTGCACAAACAAAAATTTTAAGTAAGGCTACGCAACTACCCTTGAGAAATAACATCAAAAAGAAATTGTAAAGTACAA